CCTTCAGAGACCCTATCTTGCATGCTTGAGTCACTTTCCAGGGTCAATTTGGTGAGTTTTGGACTACCATATTTGATTTTCATAGTTTTTTATGCCATGCTAAATGTCTACCTTGCATGTGCTTAATAACTCCTTGCATGGTCCTCCAAAGTAACTCATCATTTTTGCATACCATGGTTGCATATCAGTGGTTATTTGGACCTATTTTCACATGATTTATTCACTGATTTTTTCTGGTTTGGTGAGATTAATTTTATTACTTTGCCATGTAAACCATGATTGCTAGTCAAGATTGCATGCTATTTTGTCCACCACGCTAACATCTTTTGGCCATGTTTTGAACTAGAAATATTCATGTTTTGGGACTGCCTTGGCTCTGTCTTCATGCTTCATGATCAAATAATGCATGCTTTGTATAGCTATAAGTCATTCCATGTGCCTAATTTCGAATTTCGGGTTTCATCTCATGCATCGGGTGCCATTTTCCCTGTTCTGGGGCTGTTTAGCAACATATTTCCATGCTGGAATTTGTAAGTTTGCATGCCATCTTGCATCCCTTGCATGTCTTGTTAGAGTTACATGTTATGCCTTAGGTTCGGTCCTCGGTTTGCGTGCATGCATGTACGCATTTCGAGAGTCTCATTTTCACCTAATGGCTACTGATGTGAGTGTGGCTGAGGTCCATTCATCTTAGTATAAGTCCATCCTGCATTGTGTATGCCATGTTTCAATGCGTTGTGCATGTTATGTTGTTAGCATTGTTGTTGCCATATAGTTGCATTGCATGTTTGTATGTTTTTGCTTGCATGCTTAGGTCGCATGTGCATCGTTGTGCATTGCCTCGCCTCTTGATCAACCATGATTGAGGTTGGGTCCCTTATATGTTTTGTGAGTATTGCATTTGACATTGAAATGCATACTTGACTCTTCGGCCTCATGCATCGAAATCGCAATTGATGGCCCGAGGGTCAAGGGCCATGCTCCCTTGAGTCCATTGCATGATAGGGGGTGTGGCCACGCATACATTTTCATGAAAATTCCATGCCATACACTGCTTGCCCTCTGCTTGCTGTCAATTGCAGGTTTTGGAGGAAACTTTGGCCGATCGGCTAAATTAGTGCCGACCGGCCAGTAATCTGTGGCTGACAGGTTAAAAGGCGGCCGGTGATCATCCTATTAGGCCGGTGAGTGTTTCTACTTAGTCGATGGTATTCCCCAACTTCCAGACAGCATGCCCTTGGACTTTGGCAGTCCTCAGAGGGGCAAGGCAGTGTAAACAGAGGCAACAGTGGCATGGTCCGGATTTTCGGGCAAGACAAGTCAAGCATGCATCATCCACGCATTTCGAGGCGGGGCTGTGGCCACTTTAATCACTACAGAAATTGCACTTTTGGCAACTACTTTTGGCGACGACGTCAATTTTTCATCGCCAAAAAGTATATTTTTAGCGACACAGTGATCAATTTCGTTGGTAAAAGTATACCTTTACCGACGCAATTTGGCTACCGTCGCTAAAAAAGCATAACATTCTTTTAGCGCCAAATTTTTGGTTGGCG